ACTGACGGAATCCTCCAGCAGGCATCTTGCAGAAGTCCTCAGGAAAAACCAGAGATTGAATGTATTATACTTGTCCTTCGAGAACCCAGATGACAAAGCAATGAAAGTGCTATGTGAGGGTCTGAATCATCCAGAATGTGCAATAGAAACGCTTGAGTAAGTGACTCTTTTTTCATTCAGTTTGATCTTCACAACCCCTTTTTGTGATGGTTAACATTCTACGAATATATCCAGGAGAGGCAGTTCAGTTGCCCTACATAATCACATCCCATTCAATTGCTATTAGAATACATTCTTGTTAGTTTTTCACAAAATAATTGTAACTTTTCTTGCTATTCTCCACAGGCTTTCTGGGGAGATACTGACTGAATCCTCCAGCAGGCATCTTGCAGAAGTCCTCAAGAAAAACCAGAGATTGAATGTATTATACTTGTCCCTCAAGAACCCAGATGACAAACCAATGGAAGTGCTATGTGAGGGTCTGAAACATCCAGAATGTGCAATAAAAACACTTCAGTAAGTGACACTTTTTTCATTCAGTTTGATCTTCACAACCCCTTTTTGTGATGGTTAACATTCTACGAATATATCCAGGAGAGGCAGTTCAGTTGCCTTACATAATCACATTCCTTTCAATTGCTATAAGAATACATTCCTGTTAGTTTTTCACAAAATAATTGTAATATTCCTTGCTCTTCTCCACAGGCTTTCTGGAGAGATACTGACCGAATCCTCCAGCAGGCATCTTGCAAAAGTCCTCAGAAAAAAACAGAGATTGAATGTATTAGACTTGTCCCTCAAGAACCCAGATGACAAAGCAATGGAAGTGCTATGTGAGGGTCTGAATCATCCAGAAAGTGCAATAAAAACACTTGAGTAAGTGACTCTTTTTTCATTCAGTTTGATCTTCACAACCCCTTTCTGTGATGGTTAATATTCTATAAATATATCCAGGAGAGGAAGTTCAGTTGCCCTACATAATCACATTCCTTTCAATTGCTATGAGAATACATTCCTATTAGTTTTTCACAAAATAATTATAATTTTCCTTGCTATTCCCCACAGGCTTTCTGGAGACATACTGACCGAATCCTCCAGCAGGAACCTTGCAGAAGTCCTCAGAAAAAATCAGAGATTGAATAGAATAGTCTTGTCCCTCCAGAATCCAGATGACAAAGCAATGGAAGTGCTATGTGAGGGTCTGAATCATCCAGAATGTGCAATAAAAACGCTTCAGTAAGTGACTC